GTGCTTCCTGGTGGAGGAGGAAGGGTGGATGCACCAAGCGTTCCCCAGCAGTGGCCGGCAGAGAGCTTCCTTGTATCTGCTTTTTCTCAGTTGTTTTCCACTTAAAATATTCTTTATGCCAAGGTGATGTTCTTAGAGGTAGCAGGTTCCACTACCCTTCGACTGATGGCTAATTCGATATCTCGATCTCTATTTCATGCGATCTTGATGTTACATTTCATTACTAATAGGACGAAACATTTGCTAGGGATGACAGAAATGAGGCAGATTTGAGAGAAATAAACAAACACCTCTATTCCCCACCATCATCACTCTGATGAACCTGGGTTTCTGGGGGGAGAGCAGTGGTCATTAAAAGAGGAGATAGGACTAAATGTTAGAAAACTTTAAATTTGGGCCCGACATGGTAGCCTAGTGACTCAAGTCCTCGCCTTGCATGTGCTGGGATCCCAAATGGATGCCGGTTCTAAACCTTGCAGCCTTGCTTCCCATCCAGCTCCCTGCCTGTGGCCTGGGAAAGCACTGGAGGATGGCCCAAAGCCTTGGGACCCTGTACCCGCATGGGAGACCCAGAGGAGATTCCTGGCTCCTGATTTCAGATTGGTCAGTTCCGGCTGATGTGGCCACTTGAAGAGTGAATCAGTGGTCAGAAGATCTTCATCTTTGTCTCTCCTCATCTATATATATTTGACTTTATAATAACAATTTTTATATGTGTTAAATTTGTTTTTATTCAGATGGAGAGAAAGAGAGAATCACTGGTTTACTTCCCAAACTCCTGCAACAGCTGTGGATGGACCAGGCCAGAGCCAGGATCCCAATCCAGGTCTTCCATGTGGATGGTAGACCCAAGTACTGGAGTATTTGCCTATTGGTCATGCATTAGGCTGTGTGTTAGCAGCACATCAAAATTGAAATTAAAGCCAGGGTTTGAAACCAAGGATTCTGATACGATGCACAGGGTCGCAAGCTATGTCTTAACTATTGTACCACATGTCCATATGGTGATACTCGTTATATATTTTAAAGATTGACCATTTTATTTATTTTTATTAGAAAGGCAGATTGACAAAGAGAGAGACAAAGATATTCCATCTGCTTGTTCACTCCCAGAAATGCTGTAATGGTGGGAGGTGAGCGCATCTGAAGCCAAGAGCCATCAGCTTCTTCCAGGTGTCCCACACAGGTGCAGGATCTGAGGCACTTGGGCCATCCTCCACTGCTTTTCAAGGTCATAAGCAGGGGGCTGGATGGGAAGTGGAGTGACTATTTTATAGTCACAAAAAGTAGAGGATTTCTGCACTGAAGTTTTTGCCTAAACTTTCTTCTTGATCTTTTTTGGCTCTTGTGAAGAACCATGGCATCAGGGTTCATGATGAGCTCGCCTGTTTCCCAACAGATGCTGCAGTCACTTCACACTGAGTCAGGATGCTTTGAGCCTGGTTGTGAAACTTGCACCACGTGACCATGAGGTCCCCAAGCTTAACAATGGCCTCCCAGGGTAGTTACTGAGGTTTTCCAGGAACAGGAAGATTTTGAGGGATGAATGTGTCTGTGGGACACAGAAACCTGATTGTCGCTTGGGCCTTGTCACCCTTGGTGAGAGGCCTCTTGGAATCAGATTCTGCATCTATAAAATGGGGAGAATCACCACAGTCCAAGTCAGCTGGGCGGTTTGAACTGAACACAGTGCTATAGTGCTTTGCAGCAGGGTGTTAGAAAAGCCCCCATAAAGCGATAGACTTCAGCGGCAGGAGCCACAATAAGGTACAAGTGCCTGGAAAAGCAGAGGGCAACTATTAGTTAGCAATAACAAGTTCTTTCGGGAATTTTGGTGATGGCACAGCAGAGCTTGGTGAGTCAGGCAGTGGTTACTTGTGTGTTCAGGGTCTAGGGTTCCCGGAAAGTTCCTTAATGTAAGACCCATTATCAAGGTGTCAGCTACAGTGGACAGAAGTAACCTCACGGGTCTTGTGGTCAAGGGTGCTGTGGGGCTGGCTTCACTAGGGAGTGAGTGAGTGTGAGAGGCTGATATGGAGAGAGTCGTCAGGCTAAAGAGCCTGGGAGGCTGTGCGGGCTTTGGGCCTGGGAGTGTTTAGCATCAGAAGCAAAGGCACCAAGCAGCTCGGTTTCACCCACGTCCTCGGATCTGCCCACCTCCCTCCACTTTCTGGCATGCTTAGTAAGTGTTACCTCTGACCTCCTCTGCTCTGCCCCAGTTGATTCCTCCCACCTGGGGTTTCTGTGTCATTCTGACTTCCTGACACCTCTTTTGCTTATTTTTTCACTGTGACCAGCTACTATGTGGCCATTCTAAGATAAAATCCCCTGCCCCATATCCCTCCTAAACCTCCTATCACAGTACCTGGCTTATTTTCTAAATGACATCTCTCACAATTGTAACTATCTTGCTTATATATGTATTCCTGGTCAGTCTCTCTACTCCATGAGAGCAGAGATCTGGCTTTTTTCTCTGGCACTGTGGCTCCAGCTTGCCTCCTGCCAGAAATTTCCAATAAATATGGTAGGATGATGAATGACTCCACGACCTCAACATTGCTGTTTGTTTCATCCACTGAGTTAATAACAGCTGATCTCCTTACCTTGTGAAGTTTTTAGGGGACTCATATGGCAATATACTTTTGTGAACTATAGTTACAACAAAGCAAGGTGGTACAGACTCTTAGGAAAACTACAGAATTCACTTACTGTACCCGTTTGTGCATCCTTCTCTTATTGCAGAGGCCAACTGATGGGGAGGGGTGAGATAACTCCTGTATGATGGAGGTCATATTAGTTTTTTGCCCTTTGAATTTCCTGGACAATGCAGTAACTAGATGTGAGACTGCACCTTGGGTTTAGCAAAAGCTATGATCTTTTTATTATTATCTGGTATTTACTACTGTCCTGTGTAGGATTTGGCCAGGCTGGCAACAAATCATGACTGTGCCCATCTGGGGGGTGAAACGAGTTTAAGGATTGTACAAAGTGGCTACACCAAGTTCACAACTCAACTCTCACACTGGAAATAGGGCTTCATTAGTACCATGGGTGACTGTTCTCCAGGGGATAGAAACCTGTCCATTAACCCACCTCCATCATGACTCAACAGCAACCATGATGTGAAGCAACCCATCTGGATTTCATGTGTTTACTGGTAGAAAATGAAGCATTCCCTGTTATAGGAAGAGATTGTTTTTTCATCTTCAGCCTTCATAAGGAAACGAAATAACACACTAAACCTTATGTCCACTTAAGTGTAATAAATCTAAAGCACACACATTTGTTTTCTCTGGATGTGCAGGCAGCCTTTCCATGTGTCATTGAAGGGCAAGTGAACTTGGGAATGTGTCAAGCAGAGCACAGCTCAAAAGCTGTCAGAAAGCTAAACACAGTGTAGACTTTTGTCAGATGGGAGCATGGACTGTGATGCATCCTCAGGGAGTAAAGCCTGCCAGGGCAGTGGACAATTGTGTCAGTGAAAGCCTACATCCACATCCTGGACATAGATTTGCATTCCAGGCTTATATTAAAGAAAAATTTAAAATTTGTTTATTTGAAACAATAACAGAGAGAAGGAGAAACAATCTTCTATCCACTATTTTACTCTCTAGATGTCCACAACTGCCATGGCCACTCCAAATCCAAGAGCCAGGGACTTCATCCAGACTTCCTCATGGTGGCAGGAGGCCAAGCACTTGGGCCATCTTCCAGGGTCTTCCCCGGTTACATTAGCAGGAGGTTAGACTGGAAGTGGAGTAGTCACAACTCAAACTGGTGCCCTTATAGGATGCTGGTGTCACAGATAGTGTCTTAACCCATTGCACCACCATACTGGCACCTTGTTTTAAAATCTTGTTAACTACACATATACACATTTCTAAAAATGGAATGTGTGGGGTTGGCATTACACACAGCAATGAAGTTGTTGCTTGGCACATCTGCATCCCATGTCAGACTGCCTGGTCAATGGTAGCTCCAGATTCCTGGTAATGAGCACCCCGGGAGATGCCAGACGATGGCTTAAGTACTCATAGGAGATCTAGATGGAGCTCCTTGCTCCTGGCCTCAGCCTGGCACAACTCTGGCTATTGTGATCTTTTGGGAAGTCAACAAGAAGATGAGAGTCTCTGTCTCACTGTTTATCTCTGCCTTCCAAACAAACGAACAAACAAAAAATACATAGTGAAGTGTATGGCTTATAAGAGTGTGCGAGCTGACTTAAATGGTTTTGCCTTCCCTCACCCAAATCTGTAGTCTGTGGATGGTCCCTAGTGCACCTCCTTGCACAGGTAGCGGTGAGGGGGCAAGGCTCCAATGGGTTCAGGACCCTCCAGCCCCAAATATGTAACCTGGGTATAGGGAACATTTTAATCGAAAGAATTTGAGAAAAATGACAGAATTAGGAAGCTCACCTTTGCCATCTTGCTATCTTTCTATGAAGCAGGTTATAAAACCTGGGAAGGACTCTGGCTTTTCCTTGAAGCAGATTATAAGAACCTCAAGTGAGAGGTGCTTTTCCTATACACGGAAGATGAAGGGGCACAGAAAACAATTGGAACCAAGGCTGTGCTAAATTCTCCCAGTTTACTACTGTAATCCCATATCCCTTTCCCCATCATGATTATCTTATCACACTTCAGAGTACCTGCTCTCTCTGATCAGATCTTCACACCACATCTTTAATTTTACAAGGCTATTGCCTTTTGTTACACAGTGACACCAAGAATGGGTAGTGTCCCCTATAGCTTGCACACAAGGCAGTAGAAGTATTTTGATGTCATTTTTTTTTTTTTCACTTCTGGGAGGGTTGTGCCTTCCCAGTCTGGATGACTCAAGCTTGATGCCTGACCAGAGGAAACCATAGGGCCCACCCCTTGCCAACAGCAGCAAGTGCCCCTTTGAGAGAAGACAGTGCAGAAATAAGGATCACAGTAACATTGAAAAGAATGACGGGATTAGAGACCACTCAGAGCATTACATGAGAGCACTCTGGATTGACTGAGGACACAAGTTCGCTTTATTAAATCATCTATGAACCGTTTAGACAGAGATGCTCCTGGAATGGAATGATTCATTACAATGTGCCACAGCTGTATCAGGAGGGGAAGGGTCCCAGCCCAGAGGGCAAGTGCTGCAGGTAATTTACAAGGAGTTTGTCAGTACAGGTGGGTGTGGTTTTCTTATAATTACAAACATTTTTTTTCAAATAAATACATCGGAATCACACAGAGAAAAAACATACAATAGCTATATAAATGAAAAAGAAACCAATATGACTCTGTAAAGTGGCAGATTCAGAATGGCCTATGCATAATCCAATGCCCTAGGACTCTGTTTCCATCTTGAGTGGCAATCAAAGGAAGCACTTTATATGTTTCCCATTAGACATATCATATGCATTCTACACAGTCCAAGGAAAGTGGAACAGCTGCAAAATTCTGACTTTTTTTTGGTGCAAGTAATGGCAGCTAAGTGGTACCATGTAAAGTATTTGTAAGAACTGATTGTCTATTAAAGTTTGACTACTCATCACTATAATTTTAGACCTACATACATCAAACCTAGTATTACACATATTTAAAAATCAAGATACTTCCTCTTCATGTAGAGGCGATCTTTCTCCCCCTTCCCTAGAATTTTCATTATAACTGTCATTTTCTTAGGAAAATTCAAGTTGTTGAAGTATGAAAAAGAGGCCCATCCAATTTAAATCCTAGGTTTAAAAATGAGAAGCGTCTACCATCATCCAACAAAACATCCCCCCTTCCCTCTGCAAAGTGAAAATTAACCTCAGTAGATACTAAATCCCTCTTTGCCCCACCCTCTTTCTCCGCCAGTCCCACCCCTTCTGCGGGGCAGCCTCGCTAGGCAGGCGCCTCTGCTTTTTCACACGCGTGCTGGATTACAATTTAAATGCAAATAACCCTGCACCTCATTATCTAAATTCACGCCTGACTGTGCTGATCCCTGTGAAAATGCAAGGAAGGTTCATCGGTATTCTAACCCAGGCTTTACTTAGAGTACATTCAAAAGAGCAATCCATCACTTGCTTCTAAACACCGGCCTTGTGGGGTGCCTGGGATCCAGAGGAGTGCCTCCCCTAACCACACCGGGAAGCCTGGTGACAAAGGTCATGAGATAGGGTCCTCTCCTCCTATAGCTGCTCGGTAAGTTCCCAGTGACACTGGAGTATTGAAAAGAAGAGAGTTCATTTTAATGTGAATACAGCTACATGTATGGTAATGCTATGCACAATGGGAAGACAGTCTCCTGGGGGTCCAACCACCGCTAACAAGGACGATGACCAACAATGATTCACCAAACTGACGTCACTCCAGAAGATATATTTTATTTGTTTATTTGTAAAATCATCTTTCAAATATAAAGTTACTTTCAAATAATTCTTTGGTTAAAGTATAATTAAAATAAAAAGTAGAAACTTCTCCCAAGCCTTTCACTGCAGGCTGAAAGACAGCCCCTCTTTCAGCCCTCAGATGGCCATTTAGCCAGCCATTCAGATGCTATGAATCCAAATGTAATGGAAAACACTATGATTGGAACTCCACAGTGGGGGGAAGCAATAAGTTCCTCACTCCCAGTGCAGAGATGCTGAAGAGAGCCTGAGAAAACCAAACGCCAAGCGTATGCATTCAAATGTGCCAATTATTCTTGTCCATCGACCAATAGAGGTGGCATTTTAAAATCACAGAAAACAAAGCACTGTCTAGGAATAATACTGGAGCATTAGTGGATTGCTGTTGCAGAAGCAGGAACCAGTTCCAGACTTTTAATCCCAGATTAAATCCTTTGGTTAGTTTCATTTCACCTGGTATTGTAGATAACTTTCTACCTCAGGGGAAAAAAATTCCTCTTCACAAAAATACATTTGATTCTTTTTAGCTGGTATTTTCCGTCTTTTTTTTTCCTTCCTAACTTCCCCCTGCCCCCATCATTTGTTCTATTATGCATCAGCCTTAGATTTTAAAAACCAGATAGATAAAAACAGTTTCAACTTCAGATCAAATATCAGCGTGGAATTTTCAGATGAGTGTACAATTGGACAATCTAGCTGTCTCTTCAATTCTATATACATTCAACATGATTTCTCACTTGGAGTTCAGGGTTTTAAAAAAATTATTCAATGAGAATTTAGATCATTCAGGCCATTTTGATTAGCAATTTGAAGAACTCAAGCAGAAGAATTAATTCTTTCTCTGCTCAGGATTTTCCAGCTGAGGAATTCCATTTTTTTTTTTTCTCCAGATCACTGCCTCCTCCCCTAGGTCATGTGGACAAATGCCTAGTCTGTCCACAGTGAACTGCAGGTGATGGACTGCAGCCCATCAGCAGACTCAGCACGTCATTGCTGAGTCAACGAAACCTTAGGGTACCCTATGCTCACCCTTACCTCAGGTAGGTACAGACGTTGCCCCAAATACACTGCTACAGTTTTAGGAAAAGCTGATGTAAGGTGTTCAGGCATTTCTTCGAGCACTCAAAAGCCATGAAAGTTTGTGACGAATCCAATCAGCATTTCAGTGTTCTGATTAAAAAGTGCAGCCACCTCTTTTTGAAGGCAGAAGAATGAATGATCGGGACTTTTGCACTGGCTGCAGGATGACCTTTAGGACCCATCACGGTGGCTTTCTTGCCGCTTCTTCCTTCCTCCCATATTCAGGAGAAAGTATTCATGCTTGTGCTAACACACCAGCACTCTCTACACTCTCAGTGTGTATGCAGTGCTACAGAAATTGTCATTTGTTTCTCAACATGTAAAATTAATGACCTACAAATGTACTTCAAAAGAATGTGTAGAAAAATTGAGCTAATGAAATTCATGTTTGTATTTTTGTTTTAGTAATATGCATCCCCACAATCATGTGAAGATTCCTCGCACCATGGATTTCACATATGCTTGCACCAAAGAAACTTATTTTTAATTCTATTTCCATGAACTTACTGAAGTATCTTTTTATTTCTCCAAGTGACTTAAAAAAATACAGCTGTACTTCTTTTGCTGATTAACATACAGTCAGCCTCTTCTCACTTCCTCTTCTTTTCAGGGGAATCAAATTCCACTTTCTAATATAAGTATGGGTCTATTTTTATATATCTGGTTTTATACATCTAGGTTTTGAAACTTCTTTAGTGCTGTTATACATCCATAGTTTTGTCTTACACTAATGCTCCATTTGCAGGGATGGGATTGCATACATAGTCTACATAGTGAACAGATTTGTATCAGGCTATTGTGTGTGGCTATCAATAGTTAGCTAGCCACACAACTAAACAGACATCAATGACTGTCCTGTTAGTTTGATTGTCATTTATATGAACTTCCTCTAAATGTAGGAAGCAGGTATAATGAGAAACCACATGTTGTGACTCTTCAATTTCCTTCAACTGGCTTTACTTACATGTTTTAAATTATCATAAAAAACAAACAGAATCGACAGCACAGTTAGCAAGCACTGTCATCATTTAAATTAGTTCCCTGACTTCATTATACATCCCTGGCACAACTGATACACCTGTGAACATCCTCCTAAGGTGACCATATACTGTAAGTGTATGTGCAGGTTGACAAAAACATCCATATTGCACAGAAGGAGCTTCTTGCTGACCCAAATCATGCTTCCAACACACATCCTTTCCAGATGTTGGCATTCTTAGTTTGGTAACATAGTGTACGTCTAGGGGCACAGATAAGCAAATCTCAGATCTCAGAGATGCTGTACCTGATTAGCTACAACACAGGTTAATTCCAAATCTCTTTATACTTCGTAAGTTTTCTGCACCTGCCATGGACTATTTCATACCTTTATCTTATCTTCCTCCTGACTGTCCAAAGTACCTTGGAGGGATAAAAATGCTTTGTCTTCATTTCAAAGAAGCAAAAGGGGGAGGACTGTAGCAAGAAGTGCCAATTGCTCTGAAGAAAATGTGGTGGCATCAGGGTAACTATCAGACTTATCAAGCAGGTGTCTTGAGCCAGCAAAGCAGCTATATGGGGTCTACTGAGGGTAAGACTAATTTGTAACCCATGGACATCTCTGCGCATGGCACGTTTTCTAACAACCTTCGGAGGATTCCTTAGCTTGACTTTGCCTAACTGGAAGCTAGAGTTCAAAAGAAAATGCCCTCCACAAAGTGCAGCTCAGGTTCCCCCAGCTGGATTTGGAAGCCCCCTTCCCTTCCCTGGGGCTCCCTCCACAGTGGGATGGCAGCTCCTTTGGGGGGCAGTGGGGCTCTTACGCTGTACAGACAGAAGCAACAAGACACCTTCCGCTGCAGCGGGTGCCTCAGTTCAGGAAGACAGTTGTCCAGAGCCTTGTGAGCTAAACAAGGATCCAGAGAGCTTGATTTATTCCCCACCCCGTCTCAAATCAAGTCTTTCTCTCAATTGCACAGCCTCATCCTAGGAACTGGAAGAATGAAAGGAAATAAGCTAAATCACTCTGAGCTGTTCACTTAGAATGTGGTATGGAATTTCCACTGTTACACGCTAGAAGACACTTCAAAAGTCCTCCTCTTCTTGTGCACGCAGGTAGTTTATTCTTGCAGCAATGTCTCTCTCCAGTTGAAACCCCCCGTTGGTCCATGGGTCAGAGGAAGGATGGGTGGGTCCGTCAGCTGCCATATTCCAGTTTCTCCTAACTCTTCACAGGAGCAAAAGCCCAGGTATGGGATCTGAAGGGTGGCAAAGAGAAGGAAACCAGGAGACTGAGGTGTAGTAGTGCTTTCATGCTTAGCAAGTCACAACGATATTCAACTGGCCCTGGACAATAAGTTAGGAGTCAGCAGAAGCTTTAGAGAAAACACAACCCCATCACATATCAGTCAGGAAAGTGCAATGGGTAAAACTGATACATTAAAGGAAAGAGTGTTCAAATTCCAAGGAGAATCCCTTCAAGGCTGAGCTCCCTTAGTGGGTCACTGTTTAGAGACTTTTTCATTGTGAGTGGTATTCCGAGCTCTTAAACGGATATGAGATCTCACATACCCAGCCCTGTGTGAGGATACTCTGTTGCTATACAGAACTTTGGAAGGTTCACAGGAACCACCTGTTATGAAAATATTAGGCAAGGATTTGAAATTTTCCTGCATTAGAATAAACTTATCTCTTAATTCGATTTTTCCATATTTTAAAAAATTCCCTCACCCATACTTATGACCAAGTTTAATTTCAAAGTTAGGCCCAGCAAGTCATTAACAATAATAACTAATAATAAAATAGACCAGTTGTAATAACACAATGTAATGGAAGATATATGTAGGTGTGATTTTCCTCGCAGACTTAGTGTACCATACTGTGTTTTTTAGATGTTTATTTATTTGATATATGAATATATATTTATATTTATTTACTTGTTTATTTATTTCCCACACACACAAACATAAAGTAAGAGAGAGAAAGAGAGACAGAGACAGAGAGTGAACCATTTTTTGGTTCATTCCTTAAATGAACACAACAGCCAGTGCTGACAGTCAGGAGCCTGGCGCTCTGTCTGGGTCTCCCACATGGCTAGTGTGGGTCCAAGTACTCCAGAGAGCTTCAGCTCCTTTCCCTGGTGCTTTAGCAGGGAACCGGATCAGAAGCGGTGCAACTGGGACTCAAGCCACATGGAATGCTCAAGGCAGCTTCACATGCTTTGCCATGACGTAGGGCCCCAAGTAATGTGTTTTTGGACCACGGTTGGCAACAGGTAACCAAAACCACAGAAAGCGAAACCTCAGCTAGAGGCAAGCCATTCTCAGGTACCAGGAGTTCCTAATTGCATGTCGTGTTGAAAAGGCTGCCTGAATACGTCTGAAATTATACTCACACACACTAAAAAAGATTATCCCATTAATCTACTGTATCTTTTTTCCTTTGTCTGCTTTTGCACATGTATCTGTAATAAAGAGGAAGCTGTGCTCTTGCTAACTTCAGTTGTCATGGCAACATCAAAGCTTATTTTTGTGTATGCATCCAGAGTTGCATTCATAAACAAGACAAAAATCTCTGTCCTCCAGCCCTTGACAGACTCTTGGGCAGAGCAGGTGCATAAATAAGCTTTTTAAAAAGGCGAAAAGAATTGTAATTAACTTTGAATCAGGTTCTCTGGTGGCAGAGAAAGGAAGTGTTTGCTTGGTCTGAAGGGAAGTGAGTGGGAGGGGATTGCTGGGAAAAGCCTTATCCAGAGGCAAGGAGAGCAAGCCTCCAGATGTGGAGGTCAGTCTCCTGGGTTGCTGACCGTGGCCTTGATGCTGAGATTGCTGCTCAGCCTGATCCTTCTACATGACAGCTGTTCCTGGACCACCCGTGGAGGGGCTGGTTTGCAGCCAAGCTTTCAGACGCTGTGTTTTGGACTTAGCCTGTGCTTTCAGTCTGAGGTTCCTCAGGGAGATGCACATAATTTGCTCGTAATTCTTAGCAACTTCCTAAATGTCAGCTCTCAGAAGCATGAATTAGCTCCACTATCCTTTTCTCTTGCACAAAGTCTGATAAACGGGCTTACACAGAGTGCCACTTAATAGATCCCGGTTGAGTAAATCAATACAGGAAACCTCTCAGCTCAGCATAAACACACGTGTCAAAGAACTCACCTACCCACTAGTTGTTGACCTGGTAGAAAACCTCAGAGTAGCACGGGCCCCATAAACACAAGAATGGATTACCTTACGGACCATTTGCACAAAGTCCTTGGAGTTCTGAGGTGACAGGCCTTGAAGCTGGCAGGTGCATGCTTCAAGGGAAGATGCGTGGGCCACAATCAGAATATTATTTCCTGGGGAAGAAAGCAGAGAGTAGGAAGATCATTGCCACAAAAACGCATAAGCAATATATGGTGATATACTTCAAAGAGCTTCTAAAAAATGCAATGAAAACAAGGGTTTCATTCATACACATTTCCATGAACTTTTTGAGGACCTCTTGTCAGCATGGATTTTGAAAAATGTTTTATACCACAATAAACTTATTTTTAATTGTATTTTCCAGAAACTTGAAGTCCTTATGTATATACCAAGTTATCCCTTGGTATCTGAGTGTGTCTGCTTCCAGTTCTCCTCACAGACACGAAAGTTACAGATGCACAAAGCCCTTACCTAAATGACGCAGTGTTTACAAACAGCCTGCACACAACGTATAAATCATCTTTAGATGATTTACAGTATATCATACAATGTGAGTGCTATATGAGCTATTGTAATAGCATATTTTTTGGGGAATAATGACAAAAAATGAAAAATATTTCTATAGGTTAAGTATGATGTTACTTAAAATTTTTTCAATTAATTTATTTCATTTGAAAGAGAGAAGGAAAGAGAGAGATGCCTTCCATCTGCTTGTTCACTACCAAACGACTCTAGCCCAGGTACCCATGTAAGGGAAGGGGGTAACTCAAGTAGAGTCTGAATTGCTGTGCCAAACATCCACCCCACATGGGTGCTACTTTTTTTGAGTATTTCCCATTCAAGTTTGGTTGAGTCTGCACAGGCAGAACCTTCAGATACAGAGAAGTGATTATCACACGTTCCTGCACATTAACACACATACATACATAGCAATGAGAACTCAACCGCCCTTCACTTAGCTTACATCTTGTGTATCTATCGTACACTGTCAACACCAGCAAGTGGACCCTGGAACAATCCACACAGCGTACTCAGATTTCACTAGGTGTTAGAAGCACTCATGTGAGTCGGAATCCATAGCATTCACATGTGTAGCTTTGTGTACACATTGCAATCAAGACATAGAACTGTCACATGTCTTCAGAGATCCTGATATTACCCAACTCTGAAACAATTTTAAATGCTGCCACTGTAGACCTGCAAGCACTTGAGACTTTTGGGTTAACAGAACATTTTTGTAGAAGTGTCTTGAATGGTAATTTCAAGATAGTCACCTATCGCACTGCTCCTCAAGGCTAGCCACTGTTGACATTTTCATGTAGATAATTCCAGTATTTGCTCTATGGATACAAATATGTAACCAAACATTCATCATGAACAATCATTCCTGCATATCATTAAGTATTTCAGTTCCATATTAACAAAATTACTGCAAACAGACTTAGCCTGATGGGTGCTTTTGGTTGTTGGCAGTAGGGACAGTACATGGGAGTATAAGTGAATTTGTAGGTGATGTCTATGCTCCTGGATCAATTACAAGTGAGACAGGGCTGTGCGCAAAAACTTTCAGACATTGTAATGAAATCCCTCCATCACAAGACCCTTCACATTGTAATAGGATACCCCCTTCACTAGCTGACATGCAGAGTCTAAGCTGTTTAGGGTAGTAACCAAGCCTGATGTATTCCCCTAGAATATCTGCCATTCAAGATCCTCAGAGAACATCACAAACTTAATGCGAAAACATCTAAAGAAGAGTCTATGAATCTATTTCTTTCCTAGAAAGCTAGTCTGAAATAGCCGATTCACCATGATGGATAAATGATCATCTATTCAAGTATGGAGTCCAATAGAATACTACCTACCTTTACTTTTACATTCACTTATTATTTCCTTTGTTACTTGGAAACTTCTACTGATGTAAGTATCATAGGATTCCGAAACCACTAATTTGCTGACTGGAATGTGAGGTCTGTAAAAGAAATATGGACAAAGGAAATGAAAATAATTTGATTCTGAGACAAAGCAATTATTGCCATTCTCCACTTTTATTTTAGAGTTTTCTGAAGTTCTCATATATTTCTGAAGTTCTCTGTTTATCCATTACCCTGGAAAGAAGTGAGGGCTAGAGAAGTATATTTTCAGTACATGAACAGGGAGTTGAATGCACAGAAATAAAAGATACGCATAAGTGTCAGAGTGACCTGCTGCAAGAGAGATTCAGTGCATATTTCCCCACTGGATAACTAACTTTGTTGATCATTGGTCATTGATGCTCCTAGTTACATAGCTAATAGGAAAAAGAGATTAGCTCCTTTTTCTGATTTCGATGATCAAGAATTCTCCAAGTCTCTCTTCAGGAATCATTTACACAATAAACAGCAGGTTTAGTTAATTAATTAATTTAATTTATTTGAGAGGCAGAGAAAAGGGGAGAGAGAGGCAGAGCTCTTTTTTTTTTTTCTTGCCGGTTCACTGGTTCATTTTCCATGTTCACAACAACTTTATTGGGGGTGGACCAGAGAGCAAGAACTCAATCCAGATCTCCCACAGGAGTGGCAGGGAGGAGCCAATTAGTTGAGCCCATCACCTGTCGCCCCCCAGATTGCTGCGCAGGTGAGTAGAGACAGGTCTTGAACCTAAGTACTCCACAATGAGATGTGGAATTTCCACGCAGCATCTTAATTACTATATCAAATGCCTGTCCCAGGTAGCAGGCTTTAAAAGCAGATATGCAGCCTATGGATTTGCAAGTGTGTAAAATATATATCAGTTTCTTCCCTTTCTTTCTGATTTTGAGCACAGATGACACACACCTGGCAATAGGAGAAGCCCAAGGAACATGAAGATGAAGGGGACCTAATCTGTGTGCTCAAGGGGTCCTCTGTGTGTGTAAGGCTACCACTGTAAATAATAATTATGACACAATCCACAGAGGCACTTACGAGGAGAATCCAAGGGATCCTGCCATCCTGGTGGACCTGTTAACAGTGCTCACAGCTCAGCCTCTGCTTCCACTGTCCTTCACTGTTTGAAGTTTCATTTTTGTGGTGTTTTTGGTTTGTTTATGTGACACTTATCTTGTTTTGGGGTACAAGCATGTCACCAAATTTTTCTGTTTTCTTATTTTGCTTTGCATTGCTTCATGGTTACTGCCTAGGGGCAGCAGTGGTGAATTCACAAAGTGGATTCACATGGCATCTTGACGGGACCACACTACGACCGTTACTCTATTAGTACTAAAACTAGTTCCTGAGGGAGTCTCATGTTCTGAGCAAGTGTCTTCTTGAATTCTTCCAATATCATCATCCCAAAGATGTTTTTGTAAATTTAGAGTTTCTGCATGACAAATGCGTTAGTTTTGAAGGCTAGAGCTGACTTGTCAATGCCTGGATCTCAGATCTAGCCTGTGGACTCATCCTCCACACTGACAGCTCTAAAGTGTCCTCATCAAACTGCCCTTCTGCACACTTGGACTTGTTAATGGAAAGGAAGGGCAATTACACATGCAAGGAAGTCATTCTAATCTGACATTAGTTCAACATGCACATTTCTCCTAGAAAATGTCCTGTGACTTCCACAACAACCTGGGGATAAGCAGAGACACAGATCACTTTGTAAAAGCTGTGCCTCCTTGTTACAAGCTACACCTTTCCCCTCTGCTGCCTGCACATTGCATCAATTCTATTGCCATTTATGTTGCCTAATCCCCGAGATCTCCCCTCATACTATGACAAAAGGCCACCTCAAATGGATCAAATGGATCAAGGTGCCAAGTCAAGGTGACACCATGTTGTAAGGTGTGATTTGGTCCTTGTCTTTGGCTTCTCCCAGAACCTTGAAGTTGAACCTATGGATACAGAGTCAAAGGTTTCTTGGCCCTGCCAACAGAACCTGATATGTTGCTAGTCACAATCAGCATGGCCTCCTTGTACTTTCCTCAGAGTTGGGTGGGCTCGTACCCTCTGAATTGAATATCCTTTGTTCTCAGCAACTGTGATATGGCTGCCATACAGAGATTTTGTAAATGCCTGAGTGGATATTTGATCATTCATGTTACTATATTATTATTGTTGAATTATGCACATAGTGATCTATGTGTTCATTATTTGAGAGGCAGAGACACAGAGCTCCCACTCGCTGACTCACTCCCCAGATGCTTATACTGGCCAGGTTGAAGTTGAGAGCTGGGAATTGCAGATTTGATGTGGGTCTATTACACAGGAGGCAGAGACTCAACTATTTGAGCAACCTGCTGCCCCTGGGGTGTGCATTAGTAGAAATTGGAACTGGGGACAGACTTCAAGCTTAAACCCAGGTGCCCTGGACCTCTAGGATGTAAGTGACTTAACCAGTGTTTCAACTGCTAGGCCAAATGCCTGCCCCATATTACTGCTTAATTTTTAATGGTGTGCTTGAGGATTATTTACCTGTGAGCAATCTACAAATCCCTTTAACCCCAGCACAGGCAATCTGGTTTAATAGAAAAAAATAAAGAAACACAAATGAGAAGACAGTGGAGTAGGTTACACATGTCTGGCATGTCGAAAATGATGAGTAGAGGTTAGTGGTCAGTAATTGTATCATTGTTGAACGTGGTCACTAACTACCCAACTTTGGAAAAGTCCTTGGACTCTGTCCTGTATCACAGTGCCTGCCTACATTCTGGGATTACAGCAGAAGAAAAGGAAGATAGTAAACAATTAAAATGCTTTGAAGCATGACAACTGAAATTCAGGCAAGACACTGTTATCTTTTATACTGCATTATTAGTTGGTGTGTATTCCTGAAATGCAAAAATGGTTGTATTATTACACTGAGAGAGAGAATCATAAGGTTAGGAAAATATGTTATAGTAGGGTTGGGACTAGAACTGCCACAAGTGATAAACAGAAGGAATTGTTGGCTTTTCCTCACTTGTGATTTCTCATATAGCAGCTTGATTGGATTTCCCCCAACAGGGACAAATGCCCATGTCTGACCCTTCATCTCCTTAATGAGTCCAGCTTGTTGATGTAAAGAAAGTGGTTCCACAGTGGCCTTGGGAAGCGGCAGGTTCAGAGGGTTCAGAGGGTTACCTGTAGGTTGTATCAACACTCAGATTGGCCGCAGCTAACTCCGATGGTGCTATCCAGGCAGGCAAGGAGTTCCCAGCAACCCATTTTGTCCACTCAAATAAGCCTGGTTCGACACGGATCTTCAGGTGATTTTCTTGTTGTAAACCTTAAAAGTAAAATGAAATGAAAGTGAAGGAAACTTCATTCTTCTCTTTCCTGTTAAATACTATATATGCCTAAGGGAAAGTAGACACATGTGGGTTTTGACAACAGTTTTCAACTTTTGTGGGTTATAAACACATGAGCTTAATACCCTAGCCACACCCCAGGATGTTTATCAGCTTTGTGTAATACTTGATTTGAGGGAAAAAATTTCAAGTTATTATATAGTTTATTAAATTATTTGTTATAATTCCTCTCGATAAAGTAAACCTCCATGATTGTCTCAATGAGTAACTTCATATATTCTCTTATTATCCACTTCTATACAATAGATTACACTGAAATTTTCAGATAAACTATTCATTCTATCAGAAAAATCCAATGTCAAATATAAGTACCAATGCACAAGTCCCATATTTTATCACAGAGAAATTAACCTCAGAATAGAAACTGTCCCTTTACATTGGTTTAGTTCTCCTTGTATATTGCTTCTAGCACAAATTTTCTGTGCAAATTAAATATGTATGGAAGTGTCTTCTGGTGGTGGACAGAGGTTTATTAAGGTTAAAGAACAGAAGGCTCAGACTCAGCACCAAATTCTTTATTGGTTTGTCTCTCTGGCTCATTTTTTGGTACATGTTATCAGTTCAACTCTTTTTATTTCAGATTTCCCTCCAGTGAAATAAGAATAGAGACCTCTGACACTCAAACTTCTGTGGATTCTAGGGTGAATGATATCTATACAATAATGGCACTTTTAAAATGCTGGCAATGAGCTGCAGGAGCAAAGATGACTAAGAGTTAAGACTTCCAGGAATAGCATATCTGCTGTAAGTGAGAGGGAAACATCACATCAAAACAGTAGAAATCAATTTGACTATTTAAAAGCCAAAGAAAGGATCAAGCTTTATTTACAGAAACATTTGCAAGCTTGTGATTCATGCAAGAGAGCTTTACATCCCTAGAAACATATTCGTAGTGCACTTCCTTTTATCTGGTGCATGCTGTTGGAATAGCAGCTTGTGACTTGTGCAACAAGGTTCCTCTTCTGAAAGAATGCTGACTGAAAATTCCAGATTTCAAATCTCTCAACTGGCCACAGTCCCATGACATCAAGATAACTTAAATGCAGAGGTGGCTGAGAGACATGGATGGGATAGTTCATTTTTTTGTCAACCTGAGAGTCCTACCTTTTAAGATATTGTGTGCCGTCTGAACACAGCGTAGAGATGGGGAGCAATAGACGTGGTCGATGATGGTGTTACTCTCCAGCAATGCTTCACCTGCAAGGAAACCAAAGGAAGTCAGTCGGATGGACTTGGTCAGCCTCAGGTGGGCGCTCCAAGTGAGGGGGTGCCCAGCAGACCCTGTAAAGTCATGGGGCTCACACGGAGCCAGTGGTGTCCACCTTGTTGCCAAGCCACAGACTGCTTCTTGTCATTTTCTTCTCTCTCCTCTGGTGTCAACGTGCGGCAAAAAATGTCCATTTAGGAGAGACCTAGAAATGGGACCGTCTCTGACCTCAGATCTGGATCTAGAGGTGGGAGGTTTATTCGGTGATCATCACCTTTACTTCTATTCTTATTAGCCAAAAATCTCAAATTCTTCGGTTCCTGGACACCGGGGATAAATCCCAACATGTGATCTTCCAATAGTCTCATCTTGGAACCCACTTCTTTTTTCCCCTGGGTAAGGTCCAAACACCATTATGTAGTGGTCAAGATTGTCTGTGCAAGATCTCGTGTTTATTAAACTTTCTAGCCACAACCTTGGCCTGCCTCACAATTGATGCTTCCCCCGCAGTATTGATGCTGCCTCTTAACTCTGTAATTTGGTTTATGTCGTCCTTCCCTCTAAGTGTCTGTCCCTGCTTCTTGTTCCTTCCTTGCCAAGCTCACTTCCACTTCAGGGCCCAGCCTACTTCCTTTCTTAGGTCTTTTAGGCCTGTGCTTCCATACTACGTGCATAGCTCTATCACTGGGAATGTACCACACTGTTTTGTAATTATCCACATAGATATTTATTTTCCTGAGGATGGGGATTCATAATTGACCCCGTACCTTATACAAAATATGAGATTAATAAATATCTGTTAAGTGACTGAACAGGACAAGGCATGGTCTTGCAGAGCAGACATAGAATGCTTCTTCTTTGGGTTTCAGTTGGCTCCAGGGCATCCTTTTCGCCCTCTGCTCAGCCCTCTTCTTACAGCCACGTTAGCAGCTGCCACTGTCTTCCGCCACACTCACGATGAAAGTAAACCAAGATTGACTTTCCCCATCACTGCACCACACACTCCTCAATAAGCACCACAGCTTGTTTATTGCGGCGGACCAAGCTAGTGCTAAGTACAGGGCCCTGAACCCACTCATTACGCAATAAGTCCCTTTTGAATTGAGGACCTAGATCAATTATTGGAAAGTAATAGAAATCTCGCAGGAAGTGTCTTGTGGGCTCACAACTCCTAGTCCTTTTGTAGAAGTGTTGTGCAGTCACACTGGATACTTGCCCACTAGTCTTGCTTGCATACATCCAAACACAGTGATTGGAGCATCTTTCTCGTAATCTCGGAAGCCACCACTCCGCTGAGGTAAGCTATGGGGCATGTTCAAGTTGGTGCGTATGTAGCGGCCTGGAAAAGAAAGGTCGGTCTGGAGCTACAGGAATTTCTTGTTTCCCCAAGACTGCTCGTGCTGATTCTGATACCACCTCCCTCTTGCCTAAGACACCCCAACTGTCAGTTCAGATTGAGACTAATGCTTTTCCTTCATCCAAGGCTTGAAATGGACTCTTCTGCTCTACTGACAAAAGTGACATGAGCTAATTTCTTTTTGCTAATTTTTAATTTCTTTTAAATATTGTTTTTACGTAGTTGAGAGGGATGAATGCCCATATGGGCCTCTGATTAGGGTAGGGAGGGTCAGGTATAAAGGAAGGTAGGTGGGACCAATGTTTCCATTTGTTTTCTCTCTCCTGTGTCTGCAGGGGAGGAAGGGAGGAGGCTGTTCCTTGCTTCCAAACTTACATTAACACCGAGGGATGGGGGACAGTTATTTGATGATGCCTTAGAGACCCTGATGTGGCATGAGATAATTTCTTCTTTTTTTGAAAGATTTATTTATTTTTATTGGAAAGTCACATTTACAGAGAAGGAGAGATAGAGTGGAAGATTTTGCATCTGCTTGTTCACTCCGCAAGTGGCTGAAACAGCTGGAGCTGAGCTGCCCTGATGCCAGGAGCCAGGGGCTTCTTCTAGGTCTTCCAAGTGCGCAGGGTCCCAAGGTTTTGGGCCATTCTCTGGTACTTTCCCAGGCCACAAGATGGATGGGAAGAGGAGCAGCCTGGACATGAATTGGCATCCATATAGGATCCCAACAGTAGCAAGGTGAGGATTTAACCACTAGGCTACTGCACCGGGGCCCACATGAGAGAATTTCTAAGTGTAAGCAGACACTCCAAAAAGCAGGTAGGACTCCAAAATGTTTGCCTGTGATTATGGAAGCGAATGAGCAAGGCTGTGGCTTTGGACTCAGGACATGTTTGTGAGGTTGATATTGCCAAGTGACTGTGAGACACCTGTCTTCTTTGGTACCCAATGCTTCAGTCTCCAGAATACTAACTGTTTCTCCTAAACTCAAAACCATCGTCAAAGATCTACCAAGTAAAACCCATGGCTCCATCTAGATAAATGTAGCTTGACTATGCCCCCTAGAGGCCATGATAGGTGTGCTCTGCTGAGCAGGTCAACCCACTCCTTCTCACCTTTGGCATCGAAGCATTGTGACAGCCAGTACTTCCCAAACACAACATCCATCCTTTCTCCATGCCTACACACAAAAAGGCATCGCTTCTGGGGGCCGGGCTGACTGTTGACTCGGAGAGGCTGCAAAGAGAGAAAGGCTAAAGTGAGGAAAAGCAAAGCAGGATGGACTGGAGCCAGCTTTTCAAAAGTTCAGCCAAGTTACAACTTGGGCAGGTCTCTCAAGTGCCTTGGACTTAATTTGGCCTGTGTGTAAAATGACGTGTGTAAGTCTCACCCCAGAGACCTCACAAGCTATTGGGAGGCTCACATATGATAAACAGCTTTACGAAACAAGAGGAGCTATGAAAATCCCGTTATTGTTATCACATGGCTGCAGTGGTTAATAGGAGCAGCCAAAGGGTAGTCTTTAAAAGGTTCATGAAACGTGCATATTCCAACAGCACTACATATGGATTTAAAAACCTGTGAACCAAAATAAACTTCTCTGCTTATTTTCACTTTCCATGAACTTTTTGAAGTATCCTCATGCTAAGACATGACAGCCACTTCACTTCCAATTCAGAGTAAAATGAGCCCTTCAAGTGGACATCAGAGGTTTAATGAGAGCACTTCTGTCCCCAAAGGGATGCTCCATCAGCTTCTCCGGGGAGCAAGGACGGCCATGCCCACAACTGCTCCTGTCTCACCTCTCAAGTGTGTTGATCTGAGCATGCGGTTCTTAGGGTCTGCTGCAGCAATGAGGCCCTGGCTTGCCTATCCTAATTGCCATCTGTGTGTTGTTGGTGGTTTCCCAAGAAATGACTCAGGGAGGACATTTGCTACCTCTGGATGATGAAATAGACGCAGATGGTCAAAGGTACGTCCAAATGACTTGGCTTTTTAGAGAGGTTTTATATTCCTTGTTGGTACAGTGAGATTTCCCGTCTCTGTTTCTACTGTTCTCCAATCCAAGCCCTGGGCTCCCACCAAAGTGCTCTACTCTCTTCAGCCTCAACGCACTTGAGCTTTCAATGCTTTCAACTTGCCTTTGAAGGTTCAACACTTCCCCGAACTGCTCATATGTCCTTGCAAAAGCTAGCATGCACTGAACATGTACTACCTGCCGGTTCTTGTAACAATGGTCTTACTGTTGCCTTCAATCTCTACAAAAAGTTACAGGATGAAAAGCTACATCAACAAGCTTTTAGAAACAGAAAAAATATTTATTTTGCTGCAAAAGTCTGAAAATCATGCATATGAAGGGTTTTTCACAAGTTCCTGGAAATTGTGTATTATAAAAAATTATTCATAGCTTTCAACACATTTTTTTGCAGTAAAATAGACATCTTGTAATTTCATCTCCCCACCACATCAGGAAGTATCCTTGTAGAAAAAAAGAATGGACATGATTTCCTACTTTAAAGATAAACTATTCTTCTTTCTGTGGAAAAGTCTTCTTTATTAATGGTCATTGTGAGTAGAATATAATTTCTTTCTTTCTTTCTTTCTTTCTTTCTTTCTTTCTTTCTTTCTTTCTTTCTTTCCTTCTTCCTTCCTTCCTTCCTTCCTTCCTTCCTTCCTTCCTTCCTTCCTTCCTTCCTTCCTTCCTTCCTTCCTTCCTTTCTTCCTTCCTTCCCTCTTTTCTTCCTTCCTTCCTTCCTTTTGGTTCAGATTTAGCCTCATTTGAAAGGCAAATATACAGAGAGAAGGAAAGACAGAGAGAAAGATCTTGTGTTCACTGGTTCACTCCTCAAACAGCCACAAGCTGAGCCGATCTGAAGCCAGGAGTCAGGAGCTTCCTCTGGGTCTCCCACACAGGTGCAGGGTCATGAGACCTTTGGCCATCCTCTACTGCCTTCCCAGGCCACAAGCATGGGTCAGCCAGACATGAACTGGTACCCATATGGGATCCTGGAGCATGCAAAGCAAGGACTTAGCCACAGAGTCATTGTGCTGTGCCCATCTAACTTTTTCTAGTGTTACTTCACCCTGCATATTTTTATAACCTTATGTACTTCTTCCCTCAGAGTTTGGGGAACCTTTGGTGATCGTAAAGGTATTGCTGTTAGGCTGTTAGGTATAGGCTCACAGTGAAGTCCTGTTAGGGTGGAGGGCGTGACCTGCCGTTCCTTACCTGCATGGGCTGGCAGATGATAGTGAGGGCTGTCGTCTCTCCCAGTCCTTGGTCCTCATACTGCCGTCTCTCCGATACTCCATCCCCAAAGGTGAGAGAGCTGGATGATGTTGTATTTAAGATGGAATACGAACTGCAGAGAAAGATAAGGGAGATGCTTACTGTTGGCCAAGAGTCTTTAGAACTTCATGCTGGGCTGGCTCCCTGGGAGTGTGGGAGTCAGCACTGCGTGTTCTGGACAGCCTTGTGGTCAGGAATGCTGAGCAGGGACGTCATCTCTGGAGAGGGCACCTTGTTTTGTACCGGAGTCTTGCAGTTAATAAATTAGGAGGGCATGGGTTTCTGTACCAAGAACAGATGCATTGTTCTCTGTGGACAGGGAGTGAGTGCATTTATTTTGTGCTTATTGGGATGCCTCAGGCATGTCGGCACCAAAGACCTATCAAAGAATAATGGGATATCAATTATGCACCACTGTTTCCAGCTAGTTTTCTGGTTCAAAAGAGATAAATAATTCCTACTGCCTTTCATCTTTCCCATGGTAATTTCCATCTAAAGTGAAGAATGAGAAGGAAAATTTTTACTGTTTCTGCTACTTAGCCCATGGTTCCTGATGGTCAAGGAAGCCCCAAGACCATTATCCCTTATTCTATCTACCCTCTTCAGTTTCCAAATCCCATTCTTACTGCCACAGCACCTCCCAGATGATTAAAGCCAAAAGTATTCTGGAAGAGACCATTCTCACCAGATGTTTAGAGTTGTGCGCCAAGGATTCTGATTTCGGAGTGAACTACTGTAACTAAAGAAACCCCAAAGAGATTCTGCTGCAAGGAAAGTAGTTAAAAAGTACCACATCTAAATTATGGTGCAGAGTAAGACCTCCAAAGAAAATCATGCAATGAATATTGCTGTTTAAATATGGCTGTTAGGCAAGTCTGAAGAACTTCTCCTTCCATGGCAAATGGGCAGTCAGCAGCAAGCACTGACGTTTCACGTGCCTTGCTTCTTCTTCTTCTTTTCTTTTAGATTTATTTTATTTTTAATGCAAAGTCAGTTATACAGAGAGGAGGAGAGACAGAAAGTTCTTCCATCTGATGATTCACTCCCCAAGTGAGTGCAACGGCTGGTGCTGCGCCAATCTGAAGCCAGGAGCCAGGAACCTTTTCCAGGTCTCCCACATGGGTGCAGGGTCCCCAAGCTTTGGGCCATCCTCGACTGCTTTCCCAGGCCACAAGCAGGGAGCTGGATGGGAAGTAGAGCTGCCGGGATTAGAACTTGAGCCCATATGGGATCCTGGCACGTTCAAGGCGAGGACTTTAGCCGCTAGGCCACCATGCCTGGCTCATGCCTTGTTTCTTGATCACCTGGGCAGCTACAATACCCAGCTTGCAAAGCATAGGTCTGAGCTGTGTGTGTTTCCTGGAAGAAATCTGTCCAGGTTAGAGCCTGGTCTGGATGATTGCTTTCTAACAAAATGTAACTCCAATTTTATTTTTGAAAATAATTTTTGCATTCAACAATACAATGAAAGTAACTGGCTATTAGAAAAATCTATTTTTTTCCCATCAAATTAAGTTATTCTATTGCTTCAGCACCTTGCTATGCTAAAAGTATTTTTGAGTAAAAATAATAAACTTTTAGTATTTTTTTTTTCTATTTGAAAAGCAGAATGGCAGACAGAGGGAGAAAGAGAGCTTCTATTTATTTGCTGATCTCTCTCCAAGTGGCTGCAACAACCAAGGGTAGCCCAGGTTGAACTTGGAACTCCATTTGTGTGTCCCATGTAGGTGCAAGGACCCAAGCAGTTGGGTCATCCTCCATTGCTTTCCCAGGTGCATTGGCAGGGAGCTGGATTGGAAGAGGGGCACTCAAGACTCAAATCTATGCTCATATGAGATGCTGGCATTGTAAGTAGTGGTTTAGCTTGCTGTGCTACAGCACTAGCCCTAGACTAATTCTATTTGTTTATTTTTTAAGAGAGAAGGAGAGACATGGAAAGATTTTCCATCTGCTGGTTCACTCTCCAAAATAGCAGCAATGGCTGGAGCTGAGCCATTCTAAAGCCAAGACCCAGGAGTTCTTCCAGGTCTCCCATGAGGGTGCAGGGTCCCAAGGCTTTGGGCCATCCTCTGCTACTTTCCCAGGCCACAAGCAGGGAGCTGGATGGGAAGTGGAGCAGCCAGGACACAAATTGGTGCTCATATGGGATCCTGACACTTGCACTGGAGGATTAGCCAATTGAGCCATTGCACTGGGTCCGACTAATTGTATTTATAAACAAAGGTGTCAGCAATCTCATCCCCTGGAAGTGGCTTTCAGCCACTGTGCATACTGCAATGGCCAGGGGTTCTAGTCTTCTTAGACTGTGATGCAGTCAATCTGGGTGGAACATGGAACTTATAGTTAAACAAAGCCATATCAGCAAGGCAAATGAAACCTGTCAGAGGAAATTTAAGTGCCTGTAGCCCAGGGAAATACTGTGCCATTCAAACAGCTTAATAAGCCAGCTGTTCACTTTGATTTTAAACTGATATTCTCTGAACTTCAGACATTAACAGGAATTCAGTTTTCCTGTCTGATTCATCAACGTTTTAGGGTTTAGAATGCTGGCTCTGGAGTGATGCTGACATTTTGCTTGCACACGGCTCTCATTTCTTTATTACAGTTGGGAAGGCACCAATAGGTCCCCTTCTCTCCCTCCTTAAGCTTCATATGACAACACTGATATGCCAGTCTCTTTCCTATCCTATCATTGTCATCAAGTGGTCTGACTCACTCTGAGACAGTCTGAGCTGTCACTTCCAATAAGACAATAGGCAGACACTGCATGCTGGCAGCAGCATCGGGAGGGAGCCTGGCTTGGTATCCAGAACCTCTTTCCAAGCACTGGTAAGACGCTAGTCCTCTCTGGAACATACCAGGCATATGGCAAGCCTGGAAGGCCAGGCGGCTCATCCCACTGCAAAGGACTCATCTGCTGACAGGTTTCCTGGGGTTTCTCAAAGCCCAACAAGGTACTCCAGTAAGGTGGTAAGAAAATAACGTTTAGGAGGGACTCAGAGAACTGAGCGGGGAAGAGGGTTGTGAAAGGTCAATGACCCCAACTCACTCCTGAATCCTGCAACTTCCCCTCAAGCCAGGAACTCATGGCTCTGGTGCTTTGAGATTGTTGCTGGCCTGGCATGCCAAGTGCTGTCTTACAGTGAGGCTGAACTCTGCCTGCCTGAATCACTTCTGTGTCTGGGGTTAAATATAAATAGGACAGTGTAGTTCATCTACAGTATCATGTTGTGGAAGAGACATTGGGTTTGAAGAGCTTGCAATGGGGAGCTTGTACACACAGGCTAGAAATAAAGACGTATCATAATGCTAATGGTTGTTCCAGTGTTGTGGCATACCAAATATGAAACCACTAAGAGCAGAGCCAGCCCAGACTGTAGTTCTCATAATCCCACAGGCTAAGTGCAGTGATTACCTCCATTTTATAGATGAGCAAAGAGAGGCTCAGAGAAGTCCTGTAACTTGGCCAAGGTGACACAGCTGGTAAAGGGAAAGCTGGGGCTTGAATCCAAGACTGTTGGAATCAAAATTCATATGACAGCATTCCGGTGCTGAATGCCAGTATTTTCCCACTCTCAGCAGCCAAGCTGGCTAAGGAAGCTGGCAGTTTAATTTCAGGCATGGATACCAGGGATCTAACTTCACCAGTAATCACACAGAATAAAATAGATTGACACTCTTGTGATCTTCTGATCCAGTCAGAGAATGGTTCATGCTAAGCCTCTGATCTAACTTAGGGAAGAGTGGATGGATTTGGGCAGAGCAATCATCAATGGCTTAGAAGGGTTTCTCACATACTCTTCACCCACATGTAGCCCTACCGTTTAAAATAAATCACACTGTTTTTATTTTTAAGAAATGTTGATTTGACTTTCATCTCTTTGAAAGGAGAGTGGTAAGATGAGAATGGGGGAAGAGGGAGCTTCCTTGTGTTGCTCCAATCCCCAGTGCCTGCACTATGCCATCTGAGCCTCCTAGCAGAGTGGCTGTGGCTCAACTATCATTGGCTTAAGGGTGTGCATTAGCAGGATGCTAGATTGCAGGGGGAGTAACTGGGACTCAAAGCATCACTCTGACAGGGAAGCCAAGAATTCCAAGAAGCAGCTTAACCCCCTGTGCTACAACACCTGCCGCATTCTACTTTTAAGAAAGAGATCCAGGAACTGTTGTTTGTCAGGCAAATAATCTCCCGGTTCTCATTTTATTCACAAACACAATAATGTGTCACTTGAATATGTACTCTAAGCACATGGACCACTGGATGACTGTATCACTGTGCAACCACTGCAGGTTGTGCCTATGTAGACTAAGGTGAAGACAACACATTCTTCATGTGGCCCCCATAGTCTGTGCAGTCTGTTAGGGGGTACATTTTTCTAAGTATTTCTTTCCTCATCTCCATAGGAATAAAGTTGTTACTTTGAAAACTCAACATATGTATATTGGTCTTAAGCAACATTCCTGAAAAAGCAAATGCACGGGAAGCATAAGGCAGATTTGAGCACCCAGTTTGTGGCACAAAATTTTGGATGCTTATGGGATGCACTGACGGGGTTGACTGTAGGGAAAGGGAAATCCTGAAGCAGAGGGAGGAGGAGTCATTAAGAAAGACATTGTTCCTTCCATCGCCAGGCGCACAGTCTGTGTGTTCGCTGCTCCCCAGGTTTTTTAAAAAAAGCATGCTCCCTGTGCTTTTCTCCTAGGTAAAGCAGTCACCCCTACTTCTTTTTTAGGGTGTTCAGATCAGTGTTAGTCATCAGTGTCCCTTGCTTCCACCTCTCGGCCACACTGCACACAGTGAAGACGAGAGGGAGGAAAACAAACCAGTAGGCACACCCTGACTAGATGCCTGGGCATGCCAAGGAAGGGCTGGCAGTGGGCTGCTTGGATTAAGAAAGAGGTGCCTTTTGTTTCTGTTTTCCCTATTGGGATGAAGTAAGCCAAACAAGAGTCCACTCTATTGTTTGGGTATGGGTTGAGGGCAAAACAGTAGTGATGGACGGGAGGGAAGTTGTCACCCTAAAAAAGATAAGGGGGGTGCTCAACTTGCACCCTGGCAATGTCCCATGACTGTAGGCACAGTCTCTCTCATGTAGCCAAGTCCGCAGACTTCGCTCAGGGTCACTGAGCAGCTAGCACCCATAGGGGCCCTGATCTGGCTGCTGCCTTTCACTATTGGTCTGCCTGGCATAAAGCAGCAGTTTGCCCAGCTGCTTTGGGGAGTCACACCCCCTTGTGATGATGCAGAATAAGGCAGATAGAAGCCCCAAGGCAGAGAACACCCAGCACTGGTTGGGCTCACTACATTTTGGCCAGAAGAGGTGGACTCCCCCCACACTCAAGAAGACCCATTTAGTTCCTGATTAGGAGTCCAGCTTGACAGCCTCACCAAATGGGGCAGGCAGAATGAATCTAACTCTCCACTTTGCCTTGCTCCCCCTCTCCAGTCTGTGTGTTTCCAGGAAATCTGGAACTACCAGAGTTTTCTTTTCCCATCGATGTCTTGAACCGTTTCGGCTGCCCGCATGAGCAAGGTTGTTTTCCTATCAGCCTTTCAGTTTGCCACAGCAGTGTCCTTCAGAGCAGCGGGCAAAAGATCTGAGCGGCTGCTTACCCATGAAATATCCAGGTGCTGCATTCATCGGCCTTGGTAATGTAGTTCTCCGGCAGGAGTCCGGAACAGCCGGTGGTTAAGGAGGTGCCATAGAGCCAGCCTTCGCTGGTGCTGGTCTGCTCCATTGGTGACATGAAGATGAAGTCCCCCGGGACCAGCTCCAACTCATCGTCATTCTGCGGGGAGTAGGGGTAGATGACCTGCAATGTCTAAACACAGAACAGAGTGTGAGTGAGACACAGTGAGGACCGTGTGCTCTGCACCGGCAGGGACCCCTGCAGCTGGGCACATGTGCAGAGCCCCTGGTGTTTGCAGGCCTTTGGTGGACTCGAAAAGCAATCAGGAAGCATTTCTTATTTTTTCAGGGTTTCATGGGTGTGTGCCTGGTATGGCCAGATGGCCCCAGACTCTCCTTCAGGCACGTCTTCACCTCCCATCAGAAATTAGAGGGTAGTTTTAAGAAATTCACCTGAAAGCCCAGTCAAATGGTACACACGTGAACTCATTGCCTTGGCTTCCTACCAGGAGAATATGAAGTGACAGTCCTGTGGGGATGTCAGATGGACCACAGGGACAGAGCTGCTTCCATAGGTGGGAAGCGTTCCCCTTCTGATACATCATGATGTGGTTCCCACCTTCAACGGGCTTTCTCTAAACCTACAATCCTAACAAAACCTTCAGAGAAAGTGTCTTTTACAGACTCTCTCTGTGCACGTAAAACCAACCTTCAGCAGTCAACAGTGGGGACCTTGGGCTCCTTCTTTGGGCTCAGAAAAAGCCCCAGGGCTGGCCACAGGCTGTGCCATTTCGTTGATTTATTCCTTTTTTTGGCCTTCCTTTCCTGGTTTATGCAAACATCACAGACATAGGCCTGTGGGTATTTTAGAGAACATTTATTAAGGAAAGTCTATCCTATTTATTTCACAAGGAACCCAACATGGAGAATACTCCAATTGTTTTTCCTAATATCCCAAAGAAGCTAAACTCTTTGGCTTCCGATCTTCACATTATTAATTTTGTATGGCCTCTGTTTTGTCATCTGTAAAACAATGTCTTCACTGTAAGAGTCAGAAGGAACAATCTAAGAGAATAGAGAGTAACTATTTCCAGAGGCACCTGACTTCCCAGGACTATCTTTCCTTGCAGTCTACTCTGTCACGTGGATGATTCTGTGAACTAATCATCTTGCTCGTGTCAACTCACATACAGAACATAATATAGAATTTCTTTCTGGGACATGATACAGTAGCCTAGTGGCTAAAGTCCTCTTCTTGCATGCACTGAGCTCCCAAATGGGCACAGGTTCATGTCCTGACTGCTATACTTCCCATCCAGCTCCCTGCTGTGGCCTGGGAAAGCAGTAGAGAATAGCCCAAAGCCTTGGGACCCTGCACCCGCGTGGGAGAACTGGAAGCAGTTCCTGGCTGCTGGCTTTGGATTGGCTCAGCTCTGGCCGTTGTGGCTACCTGAGGAGTGAACCAAGAAGAACTTTCTCTCTGTCTCTCCTCCTCTCTGTAAATCTGACTTTCCAATAAAAATAGATCTTTCACAAATTTTTTTTTCTGGAAATCTTTAATGAAAAGTGACAATCAAATGTGATTTTTTTTTTTTTATCACAGGATGAAATGAATAATACATAGAACTCATTTGCATCACTGCATATCTCTGATTTTTATTTTCTGGAGGGCATCTATGCCCCTCCCTAGTCCCAATTCTTACTCCTGAATCTTTCCGTTCTAGATCTTCCTGTGATGTGATCTCATCTGCTTCCTTTTTCCTTCCCTCTGCTTCTCTCACACTCAAATCTCTTTTCCAAGAAAACGAGGGAGTTTTCTGCTGGGCTGTTAAAACCCATTAAAGGGGAAGAGTGCTCAAGGAATCTCTTAGATCTCAATGTTGAGTATGCAGTGATCCAGCAGGGCAACATTCCTTTCCCTGGAACAGGGTGGAGAGAAGCAGCGAGTGATGGGAGGCAAGTTCCAACTCATACTCCTCAGATCCTCAAACACAGCAGTCTTGGCGAGTGATGCCTTTAGCTCAGTGCTGCCCCACCCCTAGGAAACTCAGTGTGACATCTGAGATCTACTTATTGGGCCTATTGCATGGAGATGGGTGTTCTAAGCTACCCTCAGGGCAATTGGAGCAGTGGGAGGTTCAGGACCATATGTACTAGTTACGGAGTGGTTGGACAATAAATCCTCTTGATTTACTGGTGGGACAGTTAGAACATTAAGCTATGGCCGCACATCTAAAATGATGAACAGGATCCATGTGGCTCCATCCTTTCTTCCCATTCCACCACAAGCGGATACAGAAATTCAGCCTTCTTTTCAGAGACAGCGGGGCACGCTGCTGATTTGTGCTACACTACGCTTATTCTCTGTTGTTCTCTTAGACCCTGTCTGTAAGTATCCTTGACTCTCCTAGGTATCTTTCCCCTTCCTTACTCCCTGAGGGGAGTAAACTCAAAGTTTTCTGACTGGGAAAGAACTGTGGTTCTGGGTGACACCGGAGATGAACTGCACTGCCTTTGAAGTCCTTTTCACTCCTAGGAACAGTAACAGATTCAGCAGTTTTGTGGTACTTGCCTTCTCATGAATATTACTTTAAGGCTTTTCTATAATTCTCCTATTTAATTGTCACAAAACACCATCACCATTTTACAGGCAACAAAATGAAGGGCTGGAGAGTTACATAAGATGTCAAAGTGAATTTACTGCCAAGTTGCTGGAGCCAGGTTGCTAGGTTCCAGTGCTCATCCCTTCCTCAGAACCTGGTCCTTCTAGATTTCTACCACTTGGCATACCATTAAGGACATTTGCCTGAAGTACAAATAGGCACATGTAAATCTAAGTCAATTGAGAGGCTGCACAGAGGAGGAATCAGAGCTTGGACTGACTTAAGTATCATCCGTGCTTCGCTGACTGTCCGTGCCTAGGCCACTTGGCGTCTCTGGACACCTGCTTTCCCGTTGGAACAGTCAATCAAGTCTGTCTCCTGGAGGCCAACTGAGAAGGATAAAGGCAGGAAGTTCACCTAGGTGTAAGGCTCAGGTGGGATCAATGATCTCTGAGGGAGAGGTCTAGTGGAAAGAGGCCAAGGAGAGCTTGATCAGAAAGAAGTGGAAAGAAATGAATTTTGCAAATATGAGATAAAAGAGGCCAACTTATTTTTAGAAAATAATTCATCTGGGCGCTTGTTGCCTCTTTCCTTCCGTGCCAGTTGAGCAGAATATGGGTCAGGCAGAAAAGCAATTACCCTCCAACTTAACTGGAGGGCAGTGTTGATTGGATGATGTTTCTTGTAAAATTCCACCTTACCTTTCTTCTCTTAGAAAGATGGCTTCTCAGGGACCAACTCCTGCAACCCTTGTCTTTTAAAAATTTACCTTCCCAGGGAATCCAGTCAGCCACAGCCCTCTCATTATCTCTAGGGCTCATCCCAGGCCATTCTAGGTGATGTCAGGCTCTGAAGATCTGGCTCAGACTGGTTAATGCATCTTTACAGAAACCTGCATCATTTGTCGTTAGCACAATCATTGCTACGTGTCCCTGATGCTCACCTGTAGCTGTGCCTAGCCCCATCCCTCTGATTCACAGCTTAGCTTTTCCCAACTCTAGCAAAACAGTAATGAGGTGGCTTGGTCTCAATCCTAAGGTTATTTTTTTTTATCCTTAAAAAACCCTAAAAAAGATGCTTAAAGACGAAGTGAACAAATGGAAATATTAGTTATTAAAAAATCAGGAAGAAAATGTAATTATACCTTAATGAATAAAGTTAAACTGGAAGAAAATTTTTTTCTGTTGAAACACAGTAGTCCCTTTTATCCATGCAGGTTAGACTTCAGGATTCCCAGCAGAGTCCTGAAACCACAGGTAGTACCAAATCGCACAATTTTCCCTTTATTTACAAAGCACTTTCAAGATTTAGTTTATGAATCAGGCACAGTACAAGATGAACAACAATAACTACTGACAGAATAGAATTGTGACCATATATTGTAGTAGAAGTGATTTAAAACTTCTACTTTGTTTATTTCTGGAATATTCCATTTAATATTTCTAGCCTGTGCTTGATTATAAATAAGTGATACATCAGGACACAAAAATGCAGATAGGGGAACGATGATATGGGGTCTCCTGTTTATATGACCCCCTCCCCCCACTTAAACCTTTTATTTATTTTTATTGGAAGGGCAGATATACAGAGAGAAAGATTTTCTATCCACTGGCTACTTCCCCAAGTGGCCACGTTGGCTGGAGCTGAGCTGATCCAAAGCTAAGAGCCAAGAGCTTCTTCTGGGCCTACCATGCAGATGCAGGGTCCTAAGGCTTTGGGACATATTCCATTGCTTTCCCAGGCCACAAGCAGGAAGCTGGTTGGGAAGTGGAGCAGCCAGGATACTAACTGGCACCCATATGGAAACCTGGCAAATACATGGCAAGGATTTATTCACTTGGCTATCTGCTGAGTCCTCTCTCTCCCCTTTTAAAAGTTTTTTTTTAATTTAATTTTATTTTTGTTGGAAAGGCAGATTTATCGAGAGAGAAGAGAAAGATCTCCTGTTTGTTGGTTCACTTCCCAAGTAGCTGCAATGGCCAAAGCTGAGCTGATTTGAAGCCAGGAACGTTTTCTGGGTCTCTTATGTGGGTGTAGGTTCCCAAGGCTTTGTGCCATCCTCTATTGCTTTCCCAGGCCACAGGCAGGGAGCTGGATGGGAAGTGGAGCTGCCGGGATTAGAATTGGCTCCCATATGGATCTCAGTACTTGCAAGGAAGGATTTAACTACTAGCCCATAATGCTGGGCCCATGCTTTGCCCACTTTTGATTGCTCAAAATATCTGGGCTCTGACTTTGGGTCTGACCCTAAATTACTATTTTGCTTTGAGTGAACCCCTGCATTTCTTCGCTGTGTGTCTTGGCTTCTCGTTCACATGCATGTCTGACTGGCAAGCAAGGCTGTCTGCCTTCACGAAAGGATGCATGGATTGCACCACTTTCTGCTTGCAATGTGGTATAGCTCTCCTGCTCTCTACTGACACTGTGATGTGCAAAGTCTGGTGGTTGGTCCAAGGCTACTTTGCATGCAGGTTGCTCCTCTCTCCCCCAGTGACTCCTAACTCCTGTTCTCTTACATGGCATGGACTTAGCAGATACTGTGGCTAGTATCTGCAGGTGTGTGTGTGTGTGTGTGTGTGTGTGTGTGCTTCTGCTCACCTAAGGTCAGGATGATGTCTTGTATTAACACCATAAATTTACATAATATTGAGAAGTTTCTACCACCTATTTGTCATTTATGCTTCATTTTCATTTCTTTATCACTCTACTAAGGTTGGAAGGACAAACAGAACATGGAATGTTGCCTAGATGAACCACTTGGGACCTGAGTTGGATGCTCACAACATCCCATTGAGTCAGGCACAAACCTCCTGGTTAAGCGCTTGCTTTCCTGCTGTTTTTGCCACATGTCTCCCTGCAGCAGTGGGCAGCAGGCACTCTTGGTTTTGATGAAGTCCCTCTATGTACCCAGGAGCACTGGGAGCCACAGGCAAACCTTACCTCATGGTTAGCAAATCGGATATCCCGAGAGAATATGGTTGCTACCCAGTCGCATCCAAGTTTGACATCAATGTTCTGGGCTAGCTTCTCCAGGGTGGGGAGGTGGCTAGCTTGGAAGTGGTAGGCCAGGGTCACATGCAGTTGCTTCTTGTGAGGTTCCACATGCACTTCTAGAAAAAGGAAAACAAACATCGGTTATTAGAATGCAGTATTCAAAGCAATGGTGGAGACTAAGGAACTTAAAAAGGGCCTGATAAATTCTGCTCCCCAATAACAAGACAATTCTGGATGATACAGGAAAAGAAACACCTGTTTCTCTCCTTCACAGCTGAAGAATCAAAAAGCATGGGCAACAGATCCAGAATCAGCCCAGTGTTTGAGAGATAAGAGTGCCACACTGGCGTTTTCTGCAGGAGCTGGGATTGGCCAAGGGCGCTTCCTTGAGCTGATGCCTCCTCATGACAGATGAAGTTAGCACTAAGACTCAAGGGATTGAGATAATTTTTATAGAAACTGTGACTCCCAGGGCTGTGCTGCCTAATGTTGGAAGCAAATCGCTTAGCTTCAAGTTTAATGGAGAAATGAGGCGAGAAGATGATATGTTCAAAGTTTCATGTAAGGTTTCTCAGTAGCATTCAGGCCAAATTGCTATAAGGGGCTGTCTGGTGCATCACAGGATGGTTAATGGTATTCCTGACCTCTGCACATATCTATGTTTCAACCTCCACCTCAAGTTGTGACAGCTGAAAATGACTCCACACATTGTTAAATGTCCCCTTTGGGGGCAAACTCACTCATAACAGAGATTATTGGCTGGAAGTGTGCAGGCTTGTTATCCTAAGACATCCTAAAAGATGGACAAACTTCCATGGCCTTTATCTGTTGTGAGTACTTTAAATGAGGGAGAATCTTGTCTAAGAAAATGAACATGCATCTAGAAGAAATCAGAGAACTTGAGAGATGCAGAGGATTGGTCAAGTCCCATGGAGAGTTAGTGGCCAACATAGGGCTAGAAGTTGAGTCTTTTGACTTTTAGTAGCTTCCTCTTACCACTGTATTGTATTTCATTTTCCTCTTACATAGGCCATGGTCTCTGGTTCATGGTCTACCTCCACTTAACATGCTGTATATGTGTTTTCAGGACTTTTTTTTTTTAAGATTTATTTATTTATTGGAAAGTCAGATATACAGAGAGGAGGAGAGACAGAGAGGAAGATCTTCCATTTGATGACTCACTCCCCAAGTGAGCACAATGGCTGATGCTGTGCCGATCCAAAGCCAGGATCCAGGAACTTCTTCCGGGCATCCCACACGGGTGCAGGGTCCCAAGGCTTTGGGCCGTCCTCGACTGCTTTCCCAGGCCACAAGCAAGGAACTGGATGGGAAGTGGAGCAGCTGGGATTAGAACTGGCGCCCATAAGGGATCCTGGCGCATTCAAGGTGAGGACTTTAGCTGCTAGGCCACGCCACCGGGCCTGTTTTCAGGACTTGTTAAGTGAACAATTTCAGATGGACAGACCTTCTTAAACCACCAAGACTAGAGGACGCCATTAGGCCTACTTGCTGAAGGAATCGGGTGCATCAACCACTTCTGAATTAGCTAGGTGTGAATTGTAGGGCAAAGACTCCCACCTGCTTTTTCAGATCAGCTGCTGTGGTGAGCGGGTGGCTAAGTTCCCCAAGTCACCACCAGGGGGCCTCACAGAAGCAGGGAGAGGAAGAGCAAGTCTTTGGAGGGGCCTCTTCCCCTTGGTACTGGAATGCTGAGGCTTTGGATTTCTCTTGACCTGTATGAACTCTCAGAACCTGTCAAAGTCTGGTGGGACCAGCCTGCTGGATCTGAGAAGGATCTCGGTTTGTGGCTACAACATCAGTTCTGGTTCTGGTGGAGGCCTAGTGGTTATGACAGGAGTTACTGTGGGATCAAACACAAACCATTTCCTTGAGAAGGAGGGATAAGAACAAGAAATCACCTGCTTCTTATGCTATTTCTCTGCTATTATGCGTGTTTGAAATGTCAGGCTCTACCGAAGTCGGAAACCAGGAAGCAGTCCTTGTGGGAGAAGGAGTGCCTGCACAGGGTCATGTAAGAAAGTTCCTCTCTCTCAACTGCCAGAGGTATATGAAGAATTTGGAGCTCCTTTTAAGAACAGAGACCCCCACTGTCTTCCCGCAGTGCTGCTGTGCTCCAGCCTAACTCCTCCTAGGGTCCTGAACCCCATGAGGGCCCGAGGAACCCCTGAGCATAGGGTCCAAGTTGGCAATAAAAGAGCAGCACAGCAATGTCAGGGACAGTGTCCATGCCAAGCCAGGACTCTAGGGCAGCAAACTACATGTATCTGTTGTGCTTGTTCTGGAATACGTGGGTGTGGACAAGCTCTGGGTGACCCTGTGCTTGGTGTTCTGCTATGCAGTTCACACCCTGCGCACTGCCCTCTGCTCCCACGGTCTCTTTGCAATCTGGGTCACTGCTGCCCATCCCCCTCAAGGGTACTTCCTCTACATTCCTGCCTCCATTTCCCCAGTTCCTCTTCTGAACCTGCAGTGACTTTTCTCTTCCCAGTGCTCAGGTTTCCTAGCTGTGTCTCTGCCCAACCACTCTCTGCTTGGTTGAATTCCTCATGGATAAGCACTTTGGGGCTGCTCAATAAATGCCGGCTGGTTGGGCTTTCATTCTAGAAGGAGCTGTGCAGGGACTGTTTGTGTGACCCGTAGCACAAAGATCCCATTGAGTGAACTGAGATCAGACAGGACGGCTCTACCGAGTTTCCCTTCTCAGACATCCCAAGCACCATTTTGAGCTACTCCTTGATGGGAAATTGCAGTTGGTTTGAACTAAGGAAATTTCTAAGAAGAGAACTAAAGACATGTGTGTGTGTGTGGGGGGGGGGGGGTGGATAGAGTTTTGGGACAGACTTTTGAGGCTAAGGGACCTATCTGATTCAGTAAGTTGATGGACATTGATTGACTCAATGGATTCTATTATGACTTAATGTGTAGTGGTTCACTCTCCTCTCTGCCTATGTTGTGCCCTGAGCAAAGTACTGGGATCCTCAGGGGGTGAATGGTGAGACTCAGATTTGTACCTGTATGGATAAGAGTTTGGCAGGAAGAAAAGAACATTTCTTGTCTCTGAATATGAAGGATCATTCAGCATGATCAGTTGTCTGTGTACCTTTAACTGAGCGCTAGGGTTCAGTAAGCCAAGGGTAGTTCAGATGGTTAAAAGAGCATCCATTGAGTATTTTTTACAAGACAGACAAGAAGCGTGGATTGTGCATCTTGGTTGTGTGTGTGCATTTCTACACCGCCCTCTCCCCCTAGCCCACTCTTCCTCAATGACTTCCCGACCCTCTCCTTCTCAACTCTGGTTATCACTGCCAGGGCTTGGCTGGCAGCTTTGTGGGCTCACCGGTTTTGGACGCAGCCTCGGCAGCAAAGTCAGCAGCAAATTTCTTGAGGACCTCGGCACTGTCTTCCTTCACAAAGAGACCAATGAAATTGGAGGAGGTGTAGAGCTCCAAGGGCAGTGGGGCTGAGAACTTGCACTTCCAGCGGCTGACAGTGGTCTGCAGGGCCTCCCCCAAGGCATCCACCTTGCTGTCCTCACACTGGCGGGGGGAAAACAAGAAGGCGGCACTCAGAGATTGAGCACATGCAGCCCAGAGCCTGAGAAATTTACTGAATCATCGGTCCCGTCAAGGCAGCAAGGGAGCTGCAGACTCCATCGTCCAACTGGAATACGACGCTGGGAAACCATGACCACTTCCCTCTGTTTCTATCTGGAAGTGGTCCCTTTGACCCTAGTCCAGATATAGTAGGATTGACTAGACCAGCAGAAGGCAAGAAAAGGAACTGGGAGATGCTGACCCAAGGTCACAATGAGAGCTGTCATAGTGACCGAAGTTGACAGCAATGTGTCACTCACCTGAAAACTGCTAAAAGAGCAGATTTTCAGTGTTTTTACCATAAATAAGTGATGATTTAGTATGTATTAATCAGCTTAATCTAGCTATTCTACAGTATTAGCATTTATTAAACCGTTATATTATACTGCATGAATACAAGAAGACATTAATAAGTTCATGGAAAATGTGTACTATCTATTTTGTAAAATTATTTATTTGAGAGAGAGAGAGAGCAAGAAAAGGATTCTGCCTTCTGGTTCCTGTAATGATTGGGATGAAAGTGGGAGCTGGGAACTCATTCCAGGTCTCCCTCCTATGTGGCAGGGATCCAGTTACTTGAGCCATCACCACTGCCTCCCAAGACATGTCTTAGCAGGAAGCTCGAGTCAGGCTTGAAGTCCAGGCACCCTGTGTAGATGAGAGCAAATGCCTGCTCCCTGGGCTATTATTTTTTTATGATTTACTTATTTGAATGGCAGAGTTAGAGAAAAGAAAAAGCAGATTGATCAATTGGTCAAGCGATCTATATACTGGTTCACTCCCCAGATGGCTGCAATGGCTGGGGTTGGGCCATCTGATGCCAGCATCCAGAAGCTTCTTTTCAGTGTTCCAAGCACTTGGCTCATCCTTTGTTGCTTTCCCAGTCACATAAACAGGGAGTTGGATCAGAGCAGAACAGCCGGGGCTTGACCCAGTACCCAATAGGATGTCAAGATTGCAGGTGGTAGCTTCACCTGTTATGCCATCATGTTGGCCCTTGAATTATGTTTTAGCTCCATTTTCCATGAATCTTCTTGTATATAATCATACACTTCTTGTTTGCCAATTTTACGGAAAAAAAAGTTCCCTATGCTTGGAAACAAAAACAAAAACAGAAGGAGGGTGTGATGGGAAATTACCTAAGATAATTTGTTGTATGTTTTGGTGCTGTTTTTGCACTATTTGTACATTTTACTATTCCTCTTACATGATGAAAAGTTGCCTCTCCTTCTGCCCCCATGGTGCTGGGGAAGAATGTGGCTCATAGAGCTGGGACATCCTGCTCCTCCCCTCTTCTGAGCCTTGAAGACAGAATGAGACTCTAAAACGCCGAGTGTTTTTGAGAAGGATCCTTGGATGACTAAGAGGAAGTGATAATCACATTAATTTTCATAGTGAATGGCAAAAGAGAAGGTGTTAAGAACATGTTTTTTACTTAAAAAAACAGCATGTGCAAGAAAGTACATCTGGAAAAAGCAGAGCAAAATATTTTTCAAAAACTTGTCTGAATGCCTCTGCTGTGCTTTGTCTTGTGTGTTGTGCGGCCTCTGTCAGTTCCTCTTCCATGAGCGTGGAGAGCTGAAGGAGATGGAATGCATTCACACCAATTACAGTGAGGAGGATTTAATATGCTCGTGGAATGAGTTTTATGACAGCTCAGATTATGGGCTAGGGAACTGTGGCAGGTGAAAGAGCTGTTTGCTTTCTCTAGAGAGACCTACTGGGGGAAAAATCATAAGGCCAACATAGTGTTGTCCCTGTTGATCAAAAAATCACACATTTGGTTCCTGGTTCTTTCTTGGTCCGTAGAACAGAGAGGGTAGATAATGGGAGGGATGAAGCCAGATAAGCAAGTTGATTCTGGCTGCGGATCCATGTGCCATACCCAGAGTTCTGGTTGGTCCCTAGGGTCCCAAGGACCTCATGGTTATCCTACTAACGCACCACATCTGGGGGAAGAGGCTCCAGCAGATATAAGGAGGAGGTGGGTAAGGCCTTAACCTGGGCCACATGGAAGCCAGGTAGGCCCATCCAGGCCTGGGAGCCCTTATTTCAGCTGCTCCTTTCTTAAGTGGCTCTAGGTTTCACTCCACGTCCCGGGGTGCTGGCTGGGATGCTGGCAGCCAGGCTCCCTGGAGGGTGGGGGCACAGCAGCTCACCATGAAGAACTGGCAGAGGGTGATGTGGGGGAAGATGTTGTGTGCCTTGTTCTTCCCGCAGATCTGCTTTGACTGTTGCCAAAAGTCTGATAGCTTCTGCGCTAAGGGGCCAGTGGGGCGGAGGTAGAGGACGTACTCCCGGGGCAAGGGATCATCCAGGAAGGGGTCACCGACGTGGGAGAATAACCTGGAAGACAGAAGGGAACACGGGAAGCCTCACTTGAGAGCAGTGAAAGGAACACAGGAACAGAACCACTTTCCCCAGCATTTTACTCTGGACGTGCATGCGCAGAAGGGCTTCCCTACATGCTTAAAAACACCCACCTCTTTTTGAAGCTCACACTTGGTAACACCAACTCTCAGATGCACAACTTCTGTTCTGCTGCTCGTTGTGTTGGCTCCCCATCCCACACTCCTCTAAAAAGAGCCTAGAGCTGCTCTCCAGGAAGCATCCTCGGATAAACTCTAAATCCTTTCTCTGTGCTAGTGCAATCCCAACACTCAGGTCTTCTTGCAGCTAAATCCATGCACCTCAAGAGGTAAGGTAAGCTCCCAGGAAGGCTGCCCTGGAAGGCGAGTGGGGTTTTTTTTTTTTTTTTTTTTTAAATTCCGTTTTCCAGCATCTACACAGATGCTGGGAGAAGAGCTGTTTCTTGCAAAGACTGAATTTCTTTACATAGACCCAAGGAGAAGGACATCCTGAGACCAGAGCAGACAGCTGCAGTAGTGGGACTTGTAGCACAGTCATTGGACTCCTCTTCCCTCCCCCTGACTGCAGGTCCATTAGAGTAAGATGGCACATCCCCGCTCAACCACACACACTCAGAGCTAATTACATGCTCTTTTCTCAATGTATTTATTTCATACCAACCAGTCACATGCTGCCTGAACACTTCTTCCTCCTGTGGATGCCAAGGCTTTTTGTCTGGAAGAAAAAAGCAAAAGTCTATTGTTAGTATTTTTAGCTTCCTCCTCCCCTCTGTATCCCCTAGCAGTGCTGAGAGTTGAGCATGAAGGAGGCAGCATCAAAGCCGTACCCCACTCATGTTCCTGTGGTGTGGGTGAGACATCTGCAGTGGGTTTTCCTGCAAGGGTCAGATGGAAGCACGTGGAAGTTAGGACTTGTAATTAATCTCCATCTCATTAGCACTGAATTTGCATGTAGCCCATGGAGTCTATTTTCAGCAAGTTTTCACATTAGAGTTGTATTTTTGCTTCCTTAAGAGGTTGTCATGTCTTGTTTTATCTTCCTTCCTCTTCACCCACTCATTCTGACTGACCCAGATCCCCTCACACGGCTGAGTCAGAATGGATTAGGAAGCTGTGCTACTGCTGAATAGGACACGGTGCTGCATGTCCACCAGTACCCTTGGGCTTGAATCAGTTCATTGCCTCTTTCTACCCCAGCTACCACCATTACCAATAATAGCCCCAAGATGAATCCATTGTGTCTAAGTATTTTACGGATAGCAATCAGCTCCCATTCACACTTCTAGAGAAACAGTGTGAAGCCCTGCTAACAGTGGTTAAGGAGCCCAAGGATGGCTTTAGCAGTGATGGTCTTGTGCACAAGTCTACAGCTACTCTGAAGTTTGAGCCAAGTCGTCCAGCTTCACTGTTCATGCAGCCTTTCTTCATTCATGCATGTATTTGTTTTATAAATTCCAATCAGAGCTTACTGATTTTGCTAATATTGTGTTGGGCTCTAAGAATTTGGTAAGGAATAAGACTTGCATGTTTCCTCTCCTCATGGTGTTTTCAGTCAAGTACACATTCATGAGGTTGTTCCATTCATGATTTAATGCCACTGGTAGTCGGTGCAACAGAACAGAAACATTGGGAACTGTCAGCATATAGGACAAAGAGAGCTAACCTGGCATAAGGAGTCAAGGAGGCTGCGTGGAGGAAGGGGCCTTCCATTGAGACCTAAAGGTGTAGCTTAACTGGATGATATGGTAGAGGAGTCCTTTAATACATCTACCTTATAGTAACCTGTAAAGACTAAATGAAATAGAGTACATCAGGTGCCTTGGGCAGTGCCTGACACACTGCAGATAATCAATGCATGATAGTTCTCTTCCCTTTGCACCACACTATACACGGGCCCTTGAGAGGGAGGGAAGAAGGGATGACAGGCTGCTGAACGCAACTCTTTTGTCTCTCTCCTTCCTCCCTAAAGAGCAAAGTTACAGAATCATGGTGTCAGATGGGAAAAGATTTGGGGGAAAGCTGAGTCTGATGTCTTCATTTGACAAAAGGGAACACTCAAGTGGGAAGAAGTAGAGAAGGACAGAGTGATGGAGCAGGGATCGCCAGGCCTTGTCAGCCTGTTGCACAGCTGGAACTGAAGTCAAAGACCTTCCTTTCTTCTTGTAGAAACCTGAGCCCTGGGACCAAATGATCAGGATCAGAAATTCACCCAGTGAATGAGCACAGCATTGGAAAAGGTGGGGCTACTTACAGTAAATGAAGTTGCACAGAAGTTGGACAGACTCTGGGGACCTCTTGGAACTGAAGTTTGCACAGAAAAGACAGAAAACAGCAGAAATTCCCACACATCATTGCTACCTGGACAAAGTGCTTAATTGCTGCGAGCTGCAGCCCCATCTGCTCCCGACTGCTTGCTAGACACTTGGGCTGCACACCTTGCCCTTTTCAGCACAGAAACGTGGTTCTCACAAAAGAAAGCAAACTGTAATCTGTCAGGGGTTGGAGTCCCTGGGGGATTCAGTTCTCCACAAGGAGGGATTCATTGTTTCAAAAACCATTGGAAAAAGGAGAACACATGTATGGTACAGACCATGTGCTATTTATACAAAGCATGCAATTTCTCATGAAATATATCACACTAAAATTTCATTTTTTTTCTGGGGTGCGAAGGGAGGGTATCCTTTGGAAATGATGGTGTCCAGAATGCAAAAGACCTGTTTTAGAAGGAGTTCAAAAGAAAAAAAATTGAGGAAGATAATTAAAGGTGTGTTTGTGATAAGGCCATGATGAAAGGTTAAGGAAATGCCAGTTCTCTTTCTTGAAGACAAGTCTAAAAGGGCCTTGATTTTGTGGAAGGTCATTGTGTCTGACACACCTTGGCCAGCCAAAGTGAAAGAAGCTTCGGCTACAGCACAGTGAGCTCAGGTTAAGGTCATAAAGAAGGTTTTGGAAGTAACGTGTTTTAAAGTGGTGGCGATTATGGCGGGATTTTACAGAAAGTAGTTACCGATCTGAAACATAGGCATGCAAATGCCTAGGAAGGAGAGGCAAAATCTCTCTCCGTAGGATCATGAGCCCCAGGCAAACCTGGCTGTCCCTTCATCCACTGGCAGGCTGGTGAGGACTTGGTTGAGTTTGTTCCCAGAACTTTGCCCACAGAACAGACTGAACAGGGGGATACAAGAAAGCACATCTCCCCCTTTTATCTGCGGAAGAGAAACTATTGCCATAGAGCACCACCTTCGTGGCTCATGCAGTGGCGCCCATGCCAAGGGCAGTGGGAGGTGTGGGGTGGACCCTGCACCCAGCCCGAGCTTGAACATCTGCTACCCTCAGAGTGAGTCAGAAATTGGCAGAGGGCTGCTTCAGCACCTGCCTGAGATTGTGAACAAATGCAAAAGTGTCCCTGTACACTGGATCGCCAGGACCCCCAGCCATGGGATTTGTGTAGCAAACAAGTTTTAAAAATGGGGTCCTATTAAAACCAGCAGGGCATGTCAAAGTTCTACAAGCTACAAGTGTATTTGGAAGTTTTGATCCTCATGCTGCTGCTTTCAAATCTGTTTGGGGTTCCTTTGTAGCTGAATAGGAGAAAGAAGAAAGACGCATCTCCAATGCCAACTGACACTGGGAAGCACAAAGATGAAAAGAATGGCTAATCAAAAACTCAAGGAAGCAGCTGTGAGGACATGAGCCAAAGAGGCAGCATCCGGCAGTACCTCTGATGGCCCAGCCTCACTTCTATCTCAGGGTCTTCCACTATCTGCCTCCACTCTACTGATGCTTGGAATAGAAGCTGATCTGGTCACAAGACACCCTTATGTCTTTGAATGCAGTTTAGCAAGAAAAATTACTTTCTTTCTTAGTTTCCTGAGCCAAAGCAGCCCCTTTCCCTTCCCTTCTTTCATTGTTGTGCCTTCTGTCTTTCTTTCTTTGGTTTTCTATTTTCCCTTCTCTTCCTGAAGAACTCTCAGCAGAAAACCTGAGACCAAGGTCAGAGAGCATGAGTGGAGCTTTCTGACTGGTTGGCACCTGTTCAGGGATAACAGCTTCTGCTCTTCATGATTGACTAGAATGGGTGCCATTTCCAGGGTTCAGGACCCCTTTCACAAGCACAGACTTTAAGCCCAACTGGAATTGAATTATGCAGGATGAGTCCCTCTGAAGCAACCCTAGTTCTCTGGAGGTTCTTCAGGATCTCTGGCCATTCTGTTAGTTCAGTTTCTCTACCCTAAATACCAGGCAGGGCTTTGGTTATCATAACTGGGTGGATAAAGGAGAGGAGAACACGGATCTTGTTTGGAGAGAGTTCCTAGCCATAAGGACAGACATACAAGCAGCTTCTCACAATGGAGCAGGTGACAGGCTGTGAGTGAGGTGGGCTGCGTGCTGAGGCAGCCTAGGAGAGGGAGGAACTACTTAACCTTGAGGGGGAGAGAGAGCTGTTTCTTGGTCTGAGGTTCTCAAATTGCACCAAGATATCCTAGGTTGGGACACTACAACAAAATCAAAGAGTTGGTACCAAGGGCTATGTTTAATAGCTTTAAAATCAAGTAAACTAATTCATCTGAGGGAGAAGCAGAGAGAGAGTGGGTCAGAGAGGAAGTGGCAGGGAGAGGAAATGAAGACAGAAAGAGCATACTGCCATCCACTGAATGACTCACCAAGTGTCTGTGATGGCCTGGACTAGAATAGGCTGAAGCAAGGAGCTGGGAATATCATCCAGGCGTCCCAAATGGGTGGCACGGATGCCAGTATTTGAGCCACTACCTGCTGTCTCTCAGGATTCACACTAGCAGAAAACTGGAGCAGAACCGGGACTCAACCCAGGGTCTTCCTTTAGGGTCCTAAACATTTGCCCCTAGTCGTTTTGGATGGAAACACAGAAATATTTATGATTTGTCAGATGTTACATAAGCTACCAGCTATAGGTAGCTTCAAGTTTAGACTGGGTTGTGTCTTCTTTACAAGATATTGTTGTGAAGTTGGCATCTGGGTACCTACTGTAGGAAGAAGGAAATGCTCAGAAAAATCCTTGTGGAGTAAGACATGAGAATGGCAGTGTTCCGTCTGATCGTAAGGTCTGAGCAGTTACAGCATCTGACAGACACACAGATTCCCTTAGTAAGCAACAATACTTATTTGATAATGAAATAAAACTGTTTCTCTTTCAATTTATGAGAGGTTCCCAAAAAGTTCAGAGAAAATATGTATTATGAAAAAAAAAAACTAGGCATGGACTAAAAATACACTTTTCATTTTTTAATGAGTCTTTCAGAGTGCCCTCATAGGTGTACTTTTTTCCCCAGATGGCTCCTAAGTTGTTAGGACACATATACTTAGGGTGTTTGACTCCAACTTCCAAATAAATAGAGCTGTATGGTATGTACATTATGTACAGTGGTCGATAAGTACTGAGACACTAAAAGTGCTGTAAAATGAGAAAGTCTGGGATCTGTCCTTGAGTAGCCTCGGTCTGGATCTTATGAGCTGAGTAAGAGCTGGTTAGAAACAGGGAGGCAAAACGGCACGGGCAGAAGTGTAAAGGCAAGAGAACATTATACGTGCAGGCAAATTAGGGCTTGGTGATGCTTGAGGAAAACAGTAAAGCTGGAAGAGAGAAAAGATGAAGTTGAAAAGCAGAAGGGGGCAGCTCACAAAGGTCTCACCTGCTGCTTTAGATCTGCCAACATAGGCAGCACAGAACAATGGAGG